TCTTCGAGTAGATCACTGGCATTGCCCCTCTGCTGCCACCACCTCCTTAGCTCTCATGCTCTCCCTGAGAGTAGGGGGGAGGGGAGATAGTCATGACTGCGATTACCTCCCATTCTGCCCTTCTCCCCGGGAGGGGGAGAGAGGGGCAGACGAGGTTAGAAGGGAAAGACGAGAGGAGAGACAATGTGGGAGAGCAGGGCAGCAGAGCTGGGGGGTATGCCTCCGTTCAGCCTCCTCTCCATGCCGCGTTTTTGCCTACTCTTAACGTCTGCCTCTCCTACCGTTCCTCCCCCGCCTTACCCACCATTCCTTGAAAGGTCTGGGCAGGTCATGGACAGACCCGAAACAGGTTGCTGCCTACCCTGACGTCCGCCTCTCCTACTGTGCCTTTCCCACCATTCCCACCTCACCTTACCCACCGTTCCTTGACAGGTCTGGGGTAGGTAAGGGACAGACCAAGACAGATCAGGGACAGGTCTATGGGAGGTCGGAGATAAGGTGAGGGACAGGTCGGGGACAGGGGAGGGAACACTCCAGGGCGCACCCGGAACAGGCAAGGGAGAAATCTGAGACAGGTTTGACAGGTAAGAAACAGATCAGGATCATTTCAGGAACGGGTCAAAGGTCAGGCACAGGTCCGGAATAGGTTAGGCACACGTCAGGGACAGGTGTTGGATAGGTCTGGGACAGTGGGGGATAGGCCAGGGACAGTCCGTCCTTGGAAAGGTAAGGGGAAGACAAGGGACAGACCAGGGACAGGTCAGGGACAGGCTTGGTATGGGTCAAGGAATGGTGGGGGCAGGCACTTGACACGTATGGGACAGGTCAAGGAAAGATGAGATACAGGTCAAGAATATGTCAGGGACAGGTCAGGGATAGGTCAGGGATAGGTCAGGACAGGTCAGGGATAGGTCAGGGATAGGTCAGGGGCAGGTCAGGGATAGGTCAGGGAAAGGTCAGGACAGGTCAGGGATAGGTCAGGGATAGGTCAGGGATTGGTCAGGGATAGGTCAGGGATAGGTCAGGGATAGGTCAGGGATAGGTCAGGGGCAGGTCTAAGACACGTCAGCGTGTTGTCAAATGAGACTAGTTGTGATTCATGTGACTGCTTGATGGCTTCTATCATTCTGCTGACAGGGGAGTAAGGAAGCGGGTAAAGACAATGATAGAAGTTCAGGTCAGTATTCCGGTCACTAATAACGTCTGAATCCAAGTCAGTATTCCGGTCAGTATTCAGGTCAAATATTCAGGTGAAAGGTTCAGGTCAAATATTCAGGTACATTTTTTTAGTCAAATATTCAGGTCAAGTAACGAGGTGAGGTCCATGTCATTTAGTCAAATATTCAGGTCAAATATTGAGCTCCACATCCTTTAGTCAAATATTCAAGTCAGCATTCAGTCAGTATAATCCTTTCTTTTGCCTTCTTCTGGCATTCTGCAGCTGCCTCTATCCCACCCAGCTCAGCATTCCTGAGTGCATGCGGAATGCTCTAGGCAAGCCACTAGAGGGCTCTGGGCTTGACTGCCAAACTGATTGCAATTCAATCAAGCAGTAACGCAACAATGGGGGGAAACGGGGGGGGAGGGGAAGGTGGGGGAGGGTGGTAATGAATTGTTGAGCAAGACAATATCTGATTCTTCTAAATGCTTCCTGCGTTTTGCAGCTCCCTTTATCCCATCCCATCCAGCAGTTGCCATGTACTATGATGAGCATTTTCTCAGTGTGACGCTTCGTTTATTTTCCAGGAATCATCAGTAAGCACTGTAGCCGTATTGCAGGTCAGGGCTTGGAATCATGGAAGACCCATCACATCACTTTATGCTCCATTTCCATTACCTCGCCACTCACCCTCCACCTGCCCCTCCCCCTCCTTGCGGAAACATTGCATGTCAGCCTGTATGCTCCATCAAGTGCGTGTCTTTGCACATGGCACTTCCATCAAGCATCACCAGTTAGCACTGTGGCCGCAATCTCATCTCGTTGCTTTAAAACACCCGACATCATGTAAACAAGCTATCACTCCATGCTTCGTTTCCTTTATTTCACCACCCAACCTCTATCTGCCCCTTCCCCCTCCTCCACCTCCCCTTCGCCTCCCACTGCCCCTTGCTTTCCCCCACCCTCTCTATCCCACTCCGCCTTCCGCAATGAGGCAAAGCAGTGCAAGGCAATATGTCAGTGAGGCATGCCAGGGGAGGAGTGTGTGAGGGTCAGCTTCTCGTTGAAATGCGACTCATCTCATCTTGAAACCTCTCACTGCTCCTGGCACTTTCAGCTATCCTGATCATAATGAATGCTGGTGCGCAAGCAAGCAGGTGAGCATTGCTGACCTCCAGCTCGACTCAGGTCACAAGTCATCTTATAACCAGCTGAGCCATACGCTCACTGCTGATGAGAGTTTGACACTTGGATCAGCGGGAGAGGATGGGTGCGTTTGACCTTGGTCTCGTGATTTCCCACTCGTGGTTCCCCATGCCTGGTTCCCCACTCGTGGTTCCCCATGCCTGGTTCCCCACTCGTGGTTCCCCATGCCTGGTTTGTACCTCGCCAAACCTGTTCCCGCAAAGAAGGTTGCGAGCTGTGCAGGTGAGCATTCGAATCAGTAGTTGGGTCAGTGAAAAGGTCTATCAGTATTCTAGCTTCGCTTTAATGCCAACTGCTGCTTGAAGCATGACCTTTTGCTACCCTTTTGCAGGCTGGACCATCACAGCAGTCACATGGCATGGGATGGGATGAGGAGCAGAGATGGTGGGATGGGATGAAAAGATAGACACGAGGGGATGGGGTGATGAAAGGAGACGGTGGGATGGGACGATGAGCAGAGATGGTGGGATGGGATGAGGAGCAGAGATGGTGGGATGGGATGAGGAGCAGAGATGGTGGGATGGGATGAGGAGCAGAGATGGTGGGATGGGATGGGGAGCAGAGATGGTGGCATGGGATGAGGACCAGAGATGGTGGGATGGGATGAGGAGCAGAGATGGTGGGATGGGATGAGGACCAGAGATGGTGGGATGGGATGAGCAGAGATTGTGGGATGGGATGAGGAACAGAGATGGTGGGATGGGATGAGGAGCAGAGATGGTGGGATGGGATGAGGAGCAGAGAAAATTCCAACCATTCCAACGAGCGATTGTAAACATATCAAATTATCTATGTTTCCACCCCTGTTGAATATACCTTCGCCACCAATCTGCTCACTTCTCTCGTTCCTGTCCTTAAAACACAGTTCCCATTCACCCACCACGCTGTTAGAATAGTAGCTAGAGAGAGCCTTAGGGTTTGGTGGGAGAGAGTGTTGGCCAAACAAAGGAGGGGGGTCTCACTATGGAATTGTGGGTACAAGTAGGAGACAAAGGAGGTGAACCACCAACACAAAGAGTTTATAACTACACTAAAGCTACAGCTACAGGCAGGTACATAAATATATATAAATATATATTCTAACATTCCCCCATAACTGCCTGCAGCAGGAGCTTGTGCAGCAACAACTCCTGGATGGGTACACCACGAACAGAGAAAGCAGCAACAGGAGGCAAGTGCAATGACAACCAGTGCAGTGGTGGCAGAGACAGCTGCAGCAAGCCCTGAGGCAAGAAAGAGAGAACGAAGACGATGTGCTGTGGCGCGCTTAGTTTGCAGCTCAACAGCAAAGAAGACGAACGAAGACGATGTGCTGTGGCGCGCTTAGTTTGCAGCTCAACAGCAAAGAAGACGAACGAAGAGAGAGAAGCGTCAGGGGCTGCAGAAGTAGGTGCCACATAGCAGTGGACGGCAGCTGCAGATGCGTGGCTACTGGTTCCACCACTCTCTCTTACCCTCCCTTAGCATCTCTCCCCCCCCCCCTCTCCCCGACAGCAACAAGTGCTGCAGGGAGAGAGTAAGAGGGAAGGAGAGTGGGGGAGGGACGAGCTACTGGTGGTTCACACCCTCCGCCCCCAGAACTCCCGTCCCCCCCCCCCCACGGCGGGAGCCGCGGAAGGGAAGGGCGGGGGGGGGGGGGGGGGGGGGGGGGGGGGGGGCGGCATACGGAGCTGCCGGCGCCGGCGTCCCCTGCTGGCGCAAGCGCTGGCGTGCGCGGATGGCGCAGGCGCTGGCGCCTCGCGGCTGGCGCAGTGCTGGCGTCGCGGCTTGCGCACGCGCTGGCGCTGCGTTCCGCACTGGCGCTGGCCGCGAAGTGCTGGCGCAGGTGCGGGCGTTGGCGCGGACGACGGGCAGGGCGACGCGGGCAGAGTAGGGCGCATCGGGGCGCGACGAACTGGAGGGCGCCACGGACGGGACGGAACGGGCAGGGCGGAACGCGCTCGGACGGGCAGGGTGAAACTTGCGCCACGCGCAGTTCGCAACAGGCGCAAACGGGCGGACGAAAAAAAAAAAAGGAAGCGCATTTCGCGCTAGGACGGGCGGGCCCATGTTCCGTGAAGAAAAAATAGGTCCTTAGACCGTTTTACAGCTCTGATACCATGTTAGAATAGTAGCTAGAGAGAGCCTTAGGGTTTGGTGGGAGAGAGTGTTGGCCAAACAAAGGAGGGGGGTCTCACTATGGAATTGTGGGTACAAGTAGGAGACAAAGGAGGTGAACCACCAACACAAAGAGTTTATAACTACACTAAAGCTACAGCTACAGGCAGGTACATAAATATATATAAATATATATTCTAACACACGCCTCCTGGAAACTTGTTTGCTTGAGCAGGAATCAATACCGGTATTTTTGCCATCATAAGCAAAAGCAGACACTCCTTCCTGACTACTGTTCCCAAACCTTCAGGCGCTTATTGGGCCTTTTGACATGCACTACCATCCTTATTCATTGGCGCGGCTTGTGTTTCAAAGCAGCAGTAAGGCCGAGGTGCTCCAGGGGAAAGCTACAGACACACCTCTCGCCAGCTCCGTTCCAGCGAAGAGAAATCTGCAGCCACACCTCGCCCTTTCCCTTGCAGGTACACATTTCTTCTCATCTCCCCCGCAAAAGCTCCACAATTCATCATCGCAGCCGCTACTCGGTCGCCTGCGATACGCACGAGTCCGTCGCCATGTCCCAGTTCTGCTGCACCATGAACTTCATACCGTTGAGCCCCACCAGGTTGTACTCTGCATCTTCGCCCTTCACATTCTGAGCTGTTAGCGTGTCCCCGTACTCGTAGCTGCACTTATCAGCGTTTTCCTCCCCGTTACCGTCGAACCAGCCACTTCTGGCATCGGGATCCGTCGCAGCCTCCGCGATCTCGTGAGCGATCGTCGAAACCATCGCGTCCAGCCACGGCTTCCCGTTGGGCGAGCTCTGCTTCGCCCCGCAGTTTCCGGGGCACAATCCGTGGTGACCCACGAGGGAATACGCGACAGGCTTGGAGCCGAGGCGATCCATCGTGTGATAGCCGCAGTATTCAGTGCAGAAGCCAGCGACCTTTATGCTGGTGCTCGTGAGAAGCAGGTAGATGCCATACGCGTCGTACGGAAACGGCTTTCCCGAGCCAATCTTGCTCTTGACAACTGAGATTTAAAGAGGGCGAGGAGATTAGTACGATTCTGGGTAGGTACTATCAAATGTGATTGCCGAAAGGAGGTGAGCGGGATGACAGATTGTCGGCAAACGAATGGGATACAGGTGCTAACGAAAGGAAGACACCTATGGTGGAAGAGGCAAGCACACCTTTCCAGGGAGTGTTGCCGTTGAATTTCTTTCCGTGAGACCCTTTGTCGTAAACCACCTTTGCGAGCTTCACCTGAAAAAGGCGGCAGGAAATGGAGTTTGAATTCAATACCATGAAATCTTAGACTGGAACTTTTGTTGTGTTTGCTAAAGAAACTTGTATCCAGCAGAGCGTTCTATCATAGCGCGTTCTTCCAAGCTGGTCGTCCTGGAAGTGCCCTTTCACTCCTGCTCTGGAATCATATCTCAATGCAAGAAACGAAGCGACGTACCTGCTGGCTGACGGTGGGCGTGGACCCATCAGATGCCTGCGAGTAGTATTTCGAGCTCGTCGCCCACCAGCTGCTCACTTTCGGATCCGTCGCTTCCCCCTGCGCATCGGCGCCTCCTAGACTTAGCGACCGGATAAAATTCTCAATTACAGTCTGCGCGGATCCCGTTGGCCAGAAGCCGTAGTAGATTAAGTACACATTCAGCATGTTGCCGCTCAGCACGGGACCGCCCCATTATTGGATGGGAGTGGCGGACGACCCGTCCGACGCGGCGCCTCCCTGTTGGCGCAGCTCCTCCTCGCGGTGCTCCTTGTCGAAGCTGGATTTCGTCTCCACCAGGTGCAGCGGAGGCCGAGAGCCGCGATCGACGATGTCGGTCAGTTTTCGCTCACGGTCGCTCAGCTGTCGCTGACGGAGGTACTCGTCGTGCGCGTGTCGCGTTCGAGCGAAGCGCACCAGGCCGGCGAATGCGGAGGGGAGCACCGAGAGGCAGACGAGCATCACCGAGAGAGCGATTCGCCGGGGATTAAGGAGTTTTTCCATGGCTGGGGGACGATAAGAATCTGTCACAGAGCTTTTACTAGTTGTCTTGTCGCTGATTATTGGCTCTGATTGAGAATGACAGAATGCAAGTTTATCTGATGCAAGTTTATCTTAAGCAGGTTGTCAGCATGACCACGTAATGTTATATAGTGAATGTAACGATAACCCGTGCTGCTTACCCACGATATGCCCATGATGAGAAGGTTTCGCGGGCCGCGTCATGACTGTAGAGCGACGTCGTGGCGGGGCGCGCTTGCCATTTCAGAAATACGTGTAGTCTGACGACGTTCATGATGACCTGCTGATTTCAACGACGTTCTTGCCATCTAAGTGTTGGGTCAGTTGGGGAAACACGCAACCGAAGAGCGCATCGGTGCGTGACGCTGGTGCGTACTGCGGTTCAAAGCGGTTCTAGTCAGAGGAGCTAGAAACACTTTCTACCGTGTGAAAACGTACTAGACGATCCGCAGCACACACGCACAAGCTGAAATTTCTCGCGACTCGTTTGAGAGGACATTGCGACTCGTTGGGGCTGAAAACATTCGCCCCTTGAAACCAATTCGACACTACATATAGGCCGTGTTCCGTATGCGCTTGGTTTGATCTATGACGTCGCAAACAGTTTACCTAATTCACCCTTCACTGTATCAACGGTTACGGCTTAGTCATGACAAAGGAGCAGCCTTTACAGAGTCCGCCTATACGTCCTCCCTCGATCTCCTCACCTTCCTCGCACCTCCCTTCCGCTGCTTCTTGCCACGTGCCAAACTCTCGAGTCGCACGTACCATTTTGCAGCCAAGCCTCCTCCTCCTGACCGTTCCGCATTCCTTCCGCCGCATTACCCCCTTACCCGAATCCCAATTCCTCCCCACCCCATCCCCACTCCACCACATCTGGGTTGCGGGGCTGGGATTGGGTTGGGTTGGGTTCGGTGCTTCAAATTCCAAGTGGAGTAGTAGCCTTCGCGCCTTCCCCACTTCCCCCCTTTCCCCCCCCCCCCCGCCTCCACTACCCCACCCGCTCGACACATTTTTTTGCCCGCTCATTCACTTGCGCTGCTACTCTTGTCGCCGTCTGCTGCTGCGTAAAGTCTCAACTATATACGTTTACACTGCTTTTCGGGGGAGCACATAAAGTCTTGCTACAGGCCACTACTTAAGAATTAGTAGTTTGCGTTAGTTTTAGACTCCTAGGTTTCCCACACGAATCCAGCTCGGCAGTCAAGCTCCTAAAAACAAAGGTCAGTTCTGCCGGCGCACCGCGCTCGTAATACGCCACTACCCTTCCTCCATGCTTCCGTGCCTCCATGCAGGCGCCTCAATAGTTTCCTCCATTGTCGTCCGTTTCTTTTCGGCATCATGATCCTCCTCACTTCCCTCGTAATCCCTCCCTCTTTTTCGCTTTGCAACGCCTCGCAATTGGATGCATAGGCTCTTTCTTCCCCCGCCCGCCATCCATCTCCTCTTTTGACCCTGCGCGCGCCGCGTCCCGCCTCTCGCACCCTCCAACTTATCGTTTCCCCTCTTCCCGTCTTTTCCCCTCCCCACCACCTCCGGCCACGCGCTTACGTGCGGACACGCGCGCGCTCGTCGCTCTTTCCGCACGCATCTCTCTCACTCCCCGCGCGCATCGATCTCTCTGCGCGGATTGCTCTCGTCGCGCGCACTGGTCTCTCTGCGCGCAGCGCCATCCGCCGTGTTATGGGCAACAGTTCTAGCAGCCACCATCGCAAGCACCACGACCAGCGCCGCCCCGACAACCGCTACGCCTCCCACTCCGGCCCGCTCGCCGGCCCCGCTCACTCCGCGCCTGCCGGCCCCGCGTATTCCGGTCCCGCATATTCCGGTCCCGCGTTTTCCGTTCCCGCCAGCCCTGCCGTGTGCCAGCACCACAGCGATTCGCCCACGACTGCGCGCAGAGACGGTTTTGGCGGCGGCGGCGTTGGGAGCGTGAGTCGCAGCAGTTCTTTCGGGTACTCGCGCGCGTTGCAGCAGAAGTACGGCATCATCCCCGACACCTTCCGCTCCATCGCGCAGGTTCGTTGGTCAGGTGACACGTGGGGCAGGTTGTAACTGGCAGATTCCCTAGTCGACTCAGAAATTGCGGGCTGCAGCACAAGCACGGCATCATCCCCGACACCTTCCGCTCCATCGCGCAGGTGCGCGGCCGTCGGCTGGACAGACAGGTGATGTGCAGTGCAGTGCAAGTACGGCGTTTCCGACACCTTTTCCCGTCCTCGTCATCCTACCGTGACACGTTTGCCTTCATCATGTCCCGTCCCTTCCCATCTGCCATGTCCCGTCCCTTCCCATCTGCCATGTCCCGTCCCTTCCCATCTGCCATGTCCCGTCCCTTCCCATCTGCCATGTCCCGTCCCTTCCCATCTGCCATGTCCCTTCCCATCTTCCTCTGCCTCTCGCTGTCGCTGCCTGCGGCGCCCAGGTGCGAGCGTTGAGGTGCAAGTTGCACTGTGCTTGCCTTGTCTCTCGCCACCCCGACTCACGCATTCTCACCCTCGCTGTCCGTCTCGCCCTCGCTGTCCGTCTCGCCCTCGCTGTCCGTCTCACCCCACCTACCGTGTCCGCCCGGGAGGTGGGATTGGAATGGCAATGTGCTCTACCTCTCACTCCTCCACCCCGCGTTTCTCCCCCTCTCGCCCTCCACCCCTCTGTGCCTCTCGTGCCATGTGCACGTGCAAAAGAAGCTGCGGGAGGTGGGGTTGGTTGGAGGCGTGCTGTGCGTTGCCGCTCAACCTGTTGCGTCTGTCCCTCCCTTTCCCTCCCTACCTCCCTTCCATCTGTCCCCCGCTGTTCTATCCGTCCCTCGTGCCGACTGCAGGTGCAGGAGAAGCTGCGGGAGGTGGGGTTGGAGTCCAGCTGTGCGCTGCTTCTCTCCTTCACTCCCGTCCATCTGTCCCCCTCCATCTGTCTATCTGTCTACCCCTCTCTCTCGCCCACGTGCAGGTGCAGGAGAAGCTGCGGGAGGTGGGCTTGGAGTCCAGCAACCTCATCGTGGCCGTTGATTTCACCAAGAGCAACGAGTGGACGGGTGAGTGCTTTTGTTGAACCGCCTTCAACTGACTATCTTTGCGTGACTTGCGTAGCGTGGGACTGTCGGTCGTTAAGAAATTTACTTAGCGAGTCGTCTAGTGCATGGTCATAGCATACACCCTCTTCACCACCACTACCAGGAGCAAAAAGTTGCTTCCTTACTCTAAAAACCAATGCTGTTACTCATCTCCACCCAAGTCCCTCTCCCCTCCTCGCGCCCCCAACCTCTGTTGCACGCGATAGCGACGGCCACATTGAAACCCTAACAGGCAGACGCTCAGCCATCTCTCCTCTCCTCTCCTCATGCCATCCATCCACCCCAATTCTGCCGACTCTCCACGCAAGCAGAGCTTCAATGGGCACTCACTGCATGCAATAGCCTCGGGCGCATGAAACCCGTACGAGCAGGCCATTGACATCATCGGCGAGATGCTTACCCGTCTCTCCTCCCCTTCCTTGCTGCCACCCTCCATCCCACCCACCCTCCTTTTCACGCAAGCAGAGCTTCAATGGGCGCTCGCTGCACGCAGTAGCACAGGCACATTGATTTCGTACGAGCAAGCCATTGACATCGTTGGGCAGACGCTCATCCCATCTCTCTCTCCCCCCCTCCTCTTTGTGCCATGCCATCCATCCATCATACCCCTCCTCTTTCCTCCCCCCCTCCCCCCGTCTTCCCCTCCTCTCCAGGCAAGCAGAGCTTCAATGGGCGATCACTGCATGCAATAGCCCCGGGCGCATCAAACCCGTACGAGCAGGCCATTGAAATCATCGGCCACACGCTCTCTGCTTTCGATGAGGACAACCTCATCCCTTGCTATGGCTTCGGCGATGGTATTGTCGCCCTGC